TGTCATTGACCCTGTACTATTACAACTGATCCCATCACTTGGTGCATTTCTGTCACAGAATTTCATGGCATCTATCTTATCTCTAGCATCTAGATGATCTATATCTTATCCGATTAGATATCTAACAAGATAAGGGTAGCGTAATACATGGTGACATGTGTCAAGGCTTTGCCCTTGACTCTACTCTAAACCCTAACCCCAGTACTCACTGCTGATGTACTGGTAGTTTCAAGTGGTAAGCTTGGTGATAGGCTTGTCTTGAGAGAAGGTCTCAGAGGATGAGTAGAGAAGTAGTAGAAGACTGGTTATCTGAAAGATAGACCAGACTGCCATACTATGCTGTATTGCTCTGGTATTTATATATATGGGACCAGACCCTGGTTGCCACTGGTAGTACACCTAACACTTAGGCTGACTGATGCTTGCAATATGCTATTGGCTATCTAAGAATACCTAGCATGTAAACCATCGCCCTGTTCATGTGTTTGGTCAGCAGTCTACTATGTGATGATTACCTGAACGACCGTATGTGTCTCTAATACAAATGGGGAAATCTCGTGTGAATGTATGATAGCCCATTTGACCTGCTTCTGATATGCTAGACACCCGACTACTAACATGTCACCATGTATTACACTATCATTATCTTGTTAGATATCTAATTGGATAAGATATAGATCATCTAGACGCTGGAGATAAGATAGACACTTTGAATTTCTGTGACAATACTGTTACTAGTCAGGTGTCTAGCTTATCAGAAGCAGGTCAAATGGGCTATTATACATTCACATGATGATAGGCCCACGTAGCACATGGGCGCGCCTCAAGTTGTACTCAACATTCGAAGTGCTCAAAGCTTCCGCCTTCAGGGACGACTGCGATACCTCGACATGAACACACCTTCGAGCAAAGCCCGCCCTTTGACATCTTTGAAGTTTTGCGATCTCATGACAATCCAATTGGGATCTTTTGGTGGCAGCTTTATTCCAGGGGCTTGACTTCAAAGATGAAACCCCATCATCCGGAGATTGAGACATACGATACAGGGCTGACGGGTAAACCTATAAGTTGGTGCACTTGGGTCGCGACGCCAAGACTCGTAATGGTTGGGCCTCCGAGACTAGCAGGAATAGTGTGGTAGACGGGAATCAGAAACTGATGGAGATGTTGGGCGGGAGTTGGAAGGATATTGGGATCA